TAATTCATTTTCATTATAGACAGCTTTATGCCTCATAAAGTATTTTTCTGACGTCTGTCTTATCAGGTAAATTACTGTACACAGTGTATTCATTAATTTTCATTTTCATGTAGTAAAGGCTCTATGCCTTCATAAAGGACATACTTTTCCTTTGTTTAAGGGTATTTGGGCAATTTATTCTCTGTTTTATTCTCAAGTAAACAATACATACAAGTACAGTACAGTATTTTCTGAGGAAACACGCATACTTATCCTTTTTTAACCCCATTCCCGATAAATCCGGCATTTTCACAAACTCGGCCACCCTTCGGTCCACATTAGGCCGAGTTTTCGAGACTCTACTGTAATTTTTTCATAAATATGTCGCCCGTAAATGTCAAGAATTGCTCTTGTCTAAATAACTCGTTCAATGAAGGTTACAATAATCGATAATTACTGATTATGGTAACCTCCATTAAGATTATAGTTAACTGAAATAAAAAGTAGACATTTAGAAGGCGAAATAATGATAAGAATATTTTAGGTCACAATGTTGAAATTGAAAAACTTTGTAAAAGTGTAGGGAAAATGGAAAACTAGAATGGAAAATGTACTTACAGATTACGCGAATACCATACAAACTAAGTTACGTAATAATTTTTCATTATAATTATTAGACTTAACTATTATACACTCGATTATTAAACATATTAAACTTATATATTGTAGCATTTTTCTATGCATATACTTACGGTGTATATTATTACAGTTACACCATGAAATTTCCTGCAACTGATAGTCCAATCATTACTCTTAATGCAGAAAAAAATTACGAGAGAGAATGGTATTAGTTCATCAACTGCTTATGATATAAAGAAACAAAGAATACTAATGTATTAAATACAGGTTTATTTGCTTTTATTTAATTTAAATTTCTAGCAGTTCAGTCCTCCAGGGAGTCACTCCCTGTTTTAATATAGTTTAAATTAACAATACTTTATATACCAAACAATAGGTTTTTTATAACCTGTAACACGTTAATTACGTAAGGTTGATATGATTCTAACATTAAGATTTTCGATACCCTAATAAGAATTAATTAAAAATATTTTTGTTAGTACGATGTTTGGATAGCAACAAGATGATCTAACAAGTAAGACGTCATACGATAGGACATATCAAGTACATGTCACTCGAATAACGATAAGTAAATTGATACGAAACTTGCTGTGTTGTTTTTAAGTTTGTTTTTTATGTTAATAAGTATGAAACTAAATTAAAATAAAAGAATAAACTGTTTTTTTTTATGTTTAAAATAATTTTTTTATCTTCGTTAGTGAGTTTCACTATCTCCTGCGCGTATAATTGAATGTTTACTGTATAATTAATGCGTTTAAATCATTTAAATAATGATGTAACACTTCAAAAACAATAAAATATCTTGTAAACAAATATTATCAGTGGCTATTATACAATTTATCAAGTCAAAACTACCATCCTCTGTTATCAAAGATTTAAATTTTACGCTTTTCAACTTATTTCTCGGTTATCCGAAAATTCGTTTTAATATAATTATGTGTCATGTTATTTGCTACGCTACTTTTCCACGTATACTATCTTGCCCATTTCATTCTTATTTTATCATTGAATCATATACAATCATTGGCTTTACATGTCTTCAATGGCCTGCCGTGATATTTGACAATATGGAAGCCGTGTTTCTGTAAGAAGCCGATTTCCAGGAGTAATCAGTTAACCACTGAGTGCATCTGAAAATCAATATAAACACATAAGTTGAATGATAACAATATTTTAAATGAGGAATGATGATATAAATTAAAACAGCCATACAAAGCGTAAATAACCCCTCTTCCGGCCATTCTAATTATTGTGAGATATAAAAATGTTCGAAACTATATTAATATTAATATTAAAACGTCTACTTATACACGCGGTATAAATGTAGTGAAGTGTAGTTATCTCCTCGAACAACTAGATGCTGAAGCTTGTCGCCAGTTTTCAGCAGAAGTTTCCACTATTGTCATAATAAACTATTTGCTCTCTCTCTAGTCATCTCAGTAGTTACTTGGAATCACAAAGCAAAGTCAACGGCAGTATAAGTTTCCCTACTTATAGAAGCGTAGAAAATTTATTAAATACAGTAGACCCCCCTATAACACGGTAGATACGTTCCGTTTTTTATGAATTTTATGTTGTACGAGTCCTTAAATACATGAGCCAATCACAGCCCGGCACGTGTGCAGTTTACGGACTACGGCTGTTTGTAAGGTTTTCTTCCATAAAATTAATCGATTCTAGACTAATTCGACTCAACATTTCCAAAACACGTATAATTTTTTTGGGAATAATCCATATAAACTATGCTATAAACAAAAAGTTGTAGGATTACTTACCGAGTGTACACCGTTCGACGACGCCATTGCTTAAGCTTGTTTTCGTCGCGGAGCGGCACATCGAACGGCGGGCGCGTGTTTCCTGATAAATTATTTTTCTGCGAAAAATTCGCTGAACTTTGGAGACATCATTAATATAAATATAATTTTTATGGTCGTTAAATAATAAATGGTTTTTAGTAGGTCCGCTGCTCGTTTAAACTCAACGGTTTGCGCATTATCCGCTATTGGTCTAGATTCGACCAATCCTGTCGCGACACGAGTCGGCGATGACATTTTACCGTATTATACGAGTCTCTTTTAGCGTGTTTATACGAATACGATCGCAATTTTTTCGCCGTTATATACGAATCCGCATCATATCAACCCGTTTTATAGGGGAGTCTACTGTACTTAGGATTCAAGCAAGCCAAACTTACAGAACACGCACATGTAGACCTAAAAAACAGAAAGTAACAAAGAAATACGTATAGAAAGGTAAAGACGTATAGACAGGAAGACGAGGCCTTACAGATATATTGATAGTAACAGGTTAGAACTTCTTACTTACACTTTTAATTAATTTTTATGAGCTTCCCACGAGCATTTATGTAAATAAAAAGCAACTTTTTAAAAATTCTTTTAGTTTTATAACACTGAATTCTCGTTTTAGCATTTAATTTGGTTGTGAAAAATTGAGTTACAAGATTTTATATGGATAATACGAGTAAAACAATAGCTATAGTTTGCCTTACGTGTAGCGTCATCTGTTATCATATTTTTTTATAAATTTTAATTGTCATCATAATTTTTTAAATATTTATTGATAAGATATATATACATGTATATATATATATTTTCATTAATCCAATAATAATCAAATTAAACTTTCTAAAATATTTAAACAATTTGGAATTGATATTATAAAGATTGAAAGAGTTTTGGAACCAAGATGGATGGATTGTCTTTAAATAAGCTGTGGAAAGGGGTTTTTCAAAGATAAACATAGGTTCTAAGATGAAAAGTCTCTTAATTGTTTCTAATATATCAAACACAATAATAATCTAATCAGCCTATTCAGCAGGAATTCTACAGTGAAAAGATGGTTAAGGATAAATTACACAGCCGATGATGAATATCAAGTGATGATGCCAACAAGAAGCAATATGGAAATATCAATATTGTTCTTATTTAAGTATTAACTACGTGAAATGTATATCGTTTTTATACTTAAAACGGTCATTGATTCGTATATAATAGGTCATTCAGCAGATAGCAGCGTGTGTTCCATCAAAAGTTTAAATTGTTCTGAAGTACGATTGCAATTGATTTTTTTTCCTTTTTTGTACAGATTTTATAAAGATATGATTCAAAAAATAAGTAAATAATTAAGTTATGGCAACGCAACACTTGGGCGATCTGTCTAGGAAAGATGCCTTCCGAGAGGTACTTTTTTAAGGGTAACTGGCCACTATTTAGGCGTTACAGACGTGGAGAAAACCCGTGGTCATACCGTCCGGGCGAGGAGCGAAACCACGACCGAACTCCCAGTGTTCGGGGATCGAAACCGCTTGGCACATACAGTATAAACCGTTTATTGTAATCACTTACTGTATTGATGATGGCCCCGGTGGACACATCCACTAACAAGCTGACTTCTGTTATTGTCTTAATTGTCTTAGTAATTTCCAAATTATCGTGAGTTTACAGGGTGTTAACTTTAATAATTAACATTTCAGGAGCAAAAGAGATCTTTCTAGCATTTCACAAGTATATGGTGAGATGTTTACAATAAAAAAATTATCATTCAAAACAGGAACACCTGTAAAATGAACAGTAGTTGAGAGGCAATACGTAAATTTTCTCGTCTCTTCCTAGAGCAAGGATAATGGAAAAGATTCATTTTAAGAAGATTTATGATAACGTTCAAAGAGTGTAAAAAGATAAAAACTAACATTGATAGCTTTATTTTACTATACTTCACGTTTATAAAAACGTCCCACTTCAGGGGATATAGAAAGAAGTAGTTGGAAAATCGTACTATAGGTGGCACAGCCACAGTGTTCTACCAAACTATGGGCGTATGTACTGGTATGTACTACATGATTTGTCAAGGTCAAGGTTAACATCTTCTTACATTTGGAAAATTTTCATGTTGCTGCGAAACTACAGAGGGTTTGCAATATTTTTAGAAAAAAAAAACACAGGATATACAGTAATATTAGCCTACACCCTATTGTTTTTTCCTATACCTTACACTATAATCCTAGTTGTAGTTATCATAATCTTCATAATTCTAACTTCAAATCTGCATTCCATTTTCTCACACTCCCAAATGTTTTTTATTGGATATATTTAACTGAAAAATTCTTTTATTCATTATTCTATCATATTAAATTTAATTTCAAATCATTATAAACAAAAACTCCTTATTATTTACTGAAACACGGTAATACTCATTCATTTCAATATACATTAATAAAGAATGGGGTGAGAAATTAGTAGTAGATGGCGATACTTTTGTCGATTACGTAATTATTAATAACAAACGGGCGTTACGTTGACAATCATAATAATAACTATCGTAGAACGTGACTTACGCTATCAGACAATAAGCGAAGTATTGATATGATAAGTTAGTATCGAATACCTTCATTTGAAGAGAATTAGTAACTGTTATAATAATATTTTACGGTTTTATTATGAGTTCAATTAATAGTAGCGAATTATTAGAATCACAGAATAGTGTATCTGTGATTTTCAATTCTGATAAATCACGTTTAGAAACGTCTATTAAAAGAAAACGACCAAAAATGTATTTAGTGGCTGCTGCGGCATTACTTAATGGAGTCTGTATGGGTTTAGTATTAGGATATAGCTCACCGGCTCTTTCTAGTTTTAGGAAATCTACTAGTCATCTTCATTTAAAATTGGATGAAGAAGATTGGTTCGGCAGTCTAATGGGAATAGGTGCCTTGATTGGAGGTTTTTCTGGAGGTGAGTAACCTACTACTTTCAATGTATCTTACAGGCGTATAATTGAGTGTAAGTAACATAAAAATAGTATTATTTTTTTAAATTTTATTCAGATAAATAAGATTTCATTGCGTTTGCATGTAAATGATCGTAATCTTAGTGTTCCGTCTTATTTAATGGTGAACCGATACAAGATAGAGGCACAAATAGATAACACGTAAAGGGATGAACACGCGCTGTAAGCATGCGTCAAATTTGAGTAGGTGTTTATCAACTAATTATAAAAGATGATAAGGGATGATATTGCAAATAATCTGATTTTTTATCCATTTCCAAATTTCATTCTACTGTTATATTTTTGGCCTATTTTTAAAATTAATTATCTAGCTTGGTTTAGTTTGGTTTACGGACTGATTTAGAGGATGCACAAGGCCCATTCTAGAGGGTTTTCCCGATAAAGCTAGGTATCTCGGGTAGTAAAGGTACTGTACTGTACTATACATATGTCAAGTACAATAGTTTTGTGTATATGAAGATAGGTAGATAGCTATGTCTATTTTAATCGAAAGCATAAGTTATATATTAAGAAAGCAATTAAAATTTTAGAATAACTTTTTATTCAGGAACACCGATCGTGTCTTCATGAAGCTTAGTGTTTACGGGAGCATCAATTGAAAACACTGATTTACAGTCGATCTCCCTATAACACTGTTGATTATTCCGTTTTATATGAATTCCATGTTGTACGAGTCACTTAGATTTTACAAATACGTGAGCCGTTCACAGCCTAGCACACGTATTTGTAAAATCTAAGTGACTCGTACAACGTGGAATTCATATAAAACGGAATAATCAACAGTGTTATAGGGGGGTCGACTGTACATTAACATCTTCATTTTATTAATGCATTAATGCCATTTAGAAATTATAGTCCTTTTTTTCTTTTTACTTAAGTGATATTCTTATCGCAATCATCGCTTTTATTCTAATTCAACGTATAAGATCGATAACGACTTACAAATTCTATGATTTTATTTCAACTTCCATGACAACATATTATTTTTTTTTTTTACTAATCTTTTAAAATACAAGTATTTATCATAGTTAATACGGCTATATATATTAATTCATATATTTCTCAGAGAATGACGCCTCCATTACGCGTTAAACTCACCCGTAATATAGGAAATTGCATGCAGGCGTGGATCCAGAGTGTCTACAGGGACTAAAGCTCTCCCATTGATAAAAAAGTAAAATTTATTTGTTTGAACTTTAAAACGTTGTTTTTAATAACATTTATGATGAAAAATATGGTTTATCAGACAATCCGCAATACAAATGACAATCGTCCTGTACTGTACTGTAGTGTACATGTCAATAAAAGGTATTTATAATTGTGCTCAAAGTTAGAATGGAAGAAAGGTACAGATATTCGTAGACACCAAGTCAGACTCCACAGTTACAAAGAAAATTATCCCGATTTATTTATACACAAAATAATGCTTAATGTTTTGGGTGTAGTGCAAGATTGTAAATCTTCTGTTCCTCCTGTTGTAAGAGAGAGTTCTGAGAGAAGGATTCTTCTGTGTTCTGAGTTCTGAGAGAAGGATTCTTCTGTGTTGACTGTCCAGGGACGATGAGATTAAAAGTCCATAGAGAAGTTGATGTCAGTTCACCTAGTAAGTGGAGGGTAAAGTTGAAGAGGCAACCAAGTAACATCTGGTACTGTTAGAACTTTGAAAGAGAAGCTCTCCTCTTTTTATCATCTTTGGTTTCTGATCAACCATTCCGAATGGTCACCTTTTTTTTTTTTCATTCTCACTTTCTAAGTGGTCGTCACTCGTCACTAAGTGTAATGAGATCTGCGATTAGTCAAAATTGATATTTAATTCGATTCCAGCCGAGGATACTTGATTTTAGGACATACAATGTCTATATTTCCTTTGTCTTATTTCTGATAAAATTCTTTTTTCCATCATTATTACTAATTTTTCCTTCAATGGAAATAAAATTATATTTTACAATAATATTAACGAATTTAATGGTTTCTAGATTTTATTATGGTTCCGGGACATTTCCGGAACCCTACATAATTATTCAGTCTTTTTAATTTTTGAGTTAACCCTCCCCCTTTGGGTACTTCTGAATTCGCCACTGATTGCATAGACTAATTACTCGTTATCAATCTAATTAAACGAATTAATTCTTTTTTATATAGGCTAATACTTAAAAAATAGAAGACTGACTTGTGTTTATGAAAGAACATTTGAAAGAAAAAAAAATCACTTCCCTAACGTTAATTGTATTCTTATGATTATGAAGGGAATTTTTATTTGTAATTTTTTTTTTACTTTTCCGGCTGTTATATAGGCCTATAACAGAGAGAGAAAGTATGGCGATCGGTCAAAAAATGACCCTCCGAGATTTTTACATTTTTGGTCTTAAGATAAGACACTCGATCGTCTATTGTTGGCTTAGCTAAACCCATGATAAACATACAAAAACGCCGTCTTATTTCATGCAGGAAGGAATGAAATAATATATATTTATGATATTATTATTGTAATCAATAAATTAGTTATCAGCGTTAATAGATTACACTAATTCCTATCTAAACATTTACGCAAGTCTTTATCTTATAAAACAGATTTAATTGTGAAAAAAAAAATTAAAAAGTAATGATAATAATAATAAGGTCATTGTTATTATTGTCTAAATTTTACAAGGAATTGATTGCAATATGTCCTTCGTTAAAAAGTAATAAAATACGTTTGAAACGAGCTACAATATATTACATAAAGTGGCTGTAACGACGGCATGTTTAAAGAAAATTGAATACAGGTCCGCCATTTTCCTTTTAGTCAAGAAGCATGCTATTTGTGTTGCGTAAAGGCAACGAGCTAGAATATTCTAATTCGTGTGCAAGTGTGCAAAGAAAAGAAAGAATTTTAACCCGTGATTGAGATGGTGAGAGTCAAAATGACCCTACTTATTATTATGGCGTGTATAAAAAACGAAATTTGGCATGATAGCTTGTGTGTAAGAAGTATTGATGATATTAAATTTTGGAGGTTAAAGGTTAAAATGGTGGGAAAATAGAGGGGCGTCGTGTGTTATATCTCTAGATAGTTAACATTTACAACTTTTTCTTAATATAAAACTCATCACTACCCTCAAAATCAAGCTTTTTGCCATTCGATAATAATTAATAATATAAAAAGTTATAAGTAAAGACGTTTTTCTTTCAATAGTGAGACTAATGATATTCATCACGTCTTAATTATCCGCAATTAACAGAGACTAAGATTAAAACAGTTTACTTTATTTCGTCTATTTAACAATGCATTTAGGATTGGTAATTTTCCAATTCCTCTTCATTTTCACGGCTTCATTGTCTAAAAAAAAAGGTTGTTGTCTACAACATAACGAACAAAAGGTTAGTTCATGTTAATATACTTTTGTTATCCAGAATGGTGCATATGGTGCACAATTTGTACACATCCTGATGGTGCAGTTTCACGTAAAAGAAATTGTATAAGTCTAACACAAATCTCGGAATATTAGACGAGTTTGCAGTAGAGCACTTCCTCGCACTATGACAAATCTTCAGTTTCCTCTGGAGTATACAGTGACATTTGATGGCCAACGATTTCTTTTACGTGATAGTTGTCATGAAGATCACTGGAGAATAATGATATTTTCGTCTCCTGGAGTTCAGATTCTGCAATGTTCACGGCATTGGTTTGCAGATGGGATATATTTTCTGTTGCTTCATTCTTATTTCAGCAGCTGTACTCTACACAGCTTTTTATAGAAGATTGTTTTCCGAAGTGAACACACAAATTAATATAAACCAACCGAAAAGCATACTTTGCGAACATGCTGCTAGAAGTGTCTTTGTCGAAGTATTTCAGTAAAGGGCTTCTTTTTCCACTATACACAATGTCTGTTCCTTCAGCGATATGGTTTTTAAGGCAGTTGAGATGGCGTAGATTTTTCTTCGAATTTGCGTCAATTGGCTGCCAGCAGCCTACACAGAAGTGTAAGAAATACGGGGATACTGCACGACGCGTACGAGCACACTTGTTAAACATTTGAATTATGTTCTCATACAAATAAAAACGTTTCGAGTGTTAAAAGAGCCAATAGTGGCAGAGCAGATCAAACCACTCAATATCGGTTAGTCGAGGGTTCACCAATGTGGAGTTTTCCGGGGTTTTACAGCTAAATTGGGGCCAGTATCCCATAGAAAGTCCTCCCGGAAGGCAATCCCTCTGCAGATCGTCCGGGTGTCGCGTTGCAATAATCAAACGAGAGATTACTTATTGTGACATTGTCACAATGACAGGCTGAAGTTTTTGATTATATTTTTAATTTATTTCATTTAAAATATATGCTCTCCACCTCAAATTAGGAGTGGCTTGCCCCTGTACATCATACTTTTCCTTTAACAATNATTAATTCGTTTATAAATAATTTATAAAATAATTTTTTTTGACTTGTGTCGCCATCTGTTATTCATTTCTGCTTTATGATTTTAATAAGTTTCTGCTAATCTGACAGGAGAAAGAAAACAAATTATCGTCTATTAACTAAAAGGTTCAACAGATGGCGCGAGAGTACGATGCAAACGCCCACTCATTTATTAACATAATTGGTTAATTAATTGAAAAATTACAGAATAATAAAATCCAGAAGATGGCGCCACTAAACTATGTTATAGTATAAAGTATGCATTCGTTGATCCGCCATATTTAGTCCTATTGTTACCGTTCTATCTTCTGTATAAATTACTGTATGTCACATTATTTAACAATATAAAAAATCTTCTATTATTATATGAAATTGAATAAAATATAGAAATAAAATTGGCTTGTTAAGGTAAAAACTACGAGCGTTAAATAGAAAAAGGATTAAAAATGGCGACGCCTTTCTTAAATGCATTATCTGTAACTTATGAGCTTTAGTAGGATAAAGTCACATAAAAGATCATACTTTTGCAATTTTGCATTATTATTAATGATCTACTATATATTTGAATTTGATTCTATCAACTTATTCATTGAAATGTTCTTAATGAAATAGGCCTAATGTATTTAAAAAGACTAGGAAATTAAATAGAAAAACCTTTGCAATTTGAGTATTCTTAGAAACAATATAGATAATAGCATGTAGTATGGGAATAAAATTAAATCTTATACGTCTAGATAGAAAATCTACTGCCCCTATCTGCCTTATCATTATCCATTTAGAGATTTTGGCCCTATCTATCTCTCTCTATTTGGTCCCACTGACCCCCCCTCTGATTGTAATCGCTGGTTAACTCTCAATGTTTTTCGAAAAATGTATTTAAAGTAAGTAAAAAATTTAAATAGATCTATTGTGAGAAATAATTTAACGACCTTTCGCATCTAGTCGATCGACAATGTTAAATTAATTAATAATTTAAGTTAAAAATAGTTATTTCAGAAAGTGTAATTTACATATAGATAATTTCTATAAAGTAACGTGTAATAATAAATTTATATATTTTATAAATTAAGAAATTATAGAATTAAATTGTAATTTTTATTAACTTTTTTTCTTTTAGGTCCATTAACAAACTATGTTGGAAGAAAGAATACTTTAATATTGTGCAGTGTTCTGTTTTTCTTCGGATGGGATGGTATTCCTTACAGTAACTCCGCTGAACTCCTGTATTTTCTTAGAATAATTACTGGATTCTGTTCAGGATTAGTTTCTTCAGCTGCTCCTATGTATATTATCGAAATATCAACTCCTAAAGTTCGTGGATTTCTGGGATCTTGTTTCCAATTATCTGTGGTAACTGGAGTACTAGCAGCCATGTCTCTTGGCCTATATTTTCCATGGTCATGGTTATCTGTTTGCTGTGCCATCATCTCCATATTCTCGTTACTATGCATACTTCCTATGCCAGAATCACCCAGATGGTTAGTAATGAAGAATAAGAAAATAAAAGCCATTGTTGCTATTAAATTTCTGCAAGGAGATCGAGTGGATCCTCAGAAAGAATTTGAAAACATAGAAAATGATATAAAAAGACAACCTCAAGGTAATATTGGCATTAAAGACTTTGTAGATCCTATCAATTGGAAACCATTTCTGTTGTCTATAGGGTTAATGTACTTCCAACAATTTTCTGGAGTTAATGGAATAATGTTTTATGCTTCTTCTATTTTTGAATCCACTGGAAATAAAACTATTTCTGATAATTCTCCAGTTATAGTGGCAGCTGTTCAAGTATTTGCAACGTTCATGGCTTCGATTCTAATGGATAAAGCTGGTAGAAAACTTCTTCTTTTGATATGCGGAATAGGAACAACCATAAGTTTAACAACAATGGGTTTTTATTTTTATTTCGCTGAAAAATATGGAAAGAGTTATCAAGTACAGTACAGTTGGATATCTTTGGTTAGTCTAGTAGTATTTATAGCTTCGTTTTCTATCGGTATGGGACCAATACCGTGGTTAATGGTGGCAGAAATGGTTCCTCAAAGAGTCAGAAGTTTGGTAAGTGCAGTTGCAACGGGTTTCAATTGGACTTTAGTGTTTATAATTACTTTCACTTTCGCGAAAATGGCTATAGCTTTTCATCCGTATGGTTTATACTGGTTTTATGCATCTAATTGCTTTCTCTGTGTGTTGTTCTCGTGGTTTATATTACCAGAAACAAAAGGTAAGAAGTTAGAAGATATTCAAAAACTGTTCAAAAGAAGCAGCTTATCATTTAGAACAAAATCAACAACTGGAAATGATTTGCTTCCGATCATTGAGAATGATGTAATAATGCAGAGCGATTAAGATATATAAACTATATTTATTAGTATTAAAAGGTTAATTTCTTATTAAATATGGTATAGATTTATGTAAAAATTTATATCTAACAATTAAAAATAATTTTATATGTTATTTCTATACAAATAAACATATAAATACATTTTTTTTTCTTATCTTTTAAGTTATTTCTTTTACTTTTTATAAAAACTTCTTGGATAAAGTCTTGCAACTTCTTCGATTAAAAGTCTTTATAAAGACTTATTATAGTTTTTATTTTTTTTAAAAAAAAGAAAAACTTTAGATTAAAACGAACTCAAATTACACTCATTAATTTTTCAATTAATTAAAGTTCGATTTTTCACTTAAAAGAACAGTATATATGATTCATCCATCAATAATAATTTAATTAATCTATCACGTGGGAGTTCTATTATGAATCGCTCTTCGTAGAAACATCATTTTTAACACCTTAAATAAGTCATAATTTAATTATTTTTTTTTTCTAAAAGATGATAAGAATTCTTATTGAAATCCAATAAATACTTTTTTTTTTTTTCTTTTTTTTTCTCTGATTTTAGTCGAAGAAAATTATTCATCGTAAGATGAATTGCTGTTTGGGTGGTACCTCTCGACTGTCCACATTCCAAAATAAATTATTTGTATGTTTATATAATACATACTTAAGTAAATTAATTAAAATGTCGTGCGTGGTGCGGAGAGGATTCTGTATAAAAGTTTGGCCTAGATTTTATTTTTTCCAAAGGATATGAATGTATTTTAATCGTGTTACTTTAAAGAAAGAGACGAAGGATTTAATTAAATAATTTTTTAAATTAATTGTAAATGTATGAGAACTTTTAATATTATTTAAATTAAAATATTGGAATAAACTATTTAAATTCTTTTTGTAGAGTTTTATTATGTAAAGAACAATCTACTTCAGCTCAAGACATCTTTTCGATCAATCATTTGTTCCTTGATTATTTACCACGTTAATATCCATTCAATTAAACGATAATAAAATATTAATAACAATTACAATAACCTCACAAATGTAATAAAAAAAAAAAATTTCACTTCTCTATTATCTTCAATAAAAATATTTTTAAAAAAAAGAATAAAAATAAGGGAAGAAAACCTTTCGTTCAAAGAAAAACTCTGAATGCTCTTAAGAAAAAAGTAGAAAAGAGAATGGAAGAATTCTCAATTTTAAATGAACCTTTAACAGTGCAGTAAGTATAAATTGAAGCGAACTTCTAATGCACGAACAGGTAGAAGATATATCACAAGAAGTGCAGGAAACAGAAAAAAAAAGAGCACAACCCAATCTATTTGATTAATGAAGTGGAGAAGAGAGGCAGCTGTTGGGGCGATGTTTTTCTCACTGCATCTCTCTCCTCCTGACGTTTGTAATTACCAACACGACTAATGGCGTCGGCCATTGCTTTACATGCAAATTTACATCATCCCTCATCCCGTGACGTCATTCAGAAACTGTTCTTCTTTGACGTCAATACCCAAGAAAAAAGTTCGAATCCCTAATCTTTAAAGATGGTTGGATGAAAAAGATCCTCACGATTCTCTACGTTCATTATGTTGTTTCTATATAAATTATAAAGATAACATGTTTCTTATCGACTATTTCGATCGGTAATAAAGTTTCTGAGCAAAAAAATAATAATAATAATAATAATAATAAATAAATAAGAATATTCCTGACTCCCTGTCAATAATTGGAGGAAACACGCTATAGTTGTTTACTGTTATTTTCACTATATTAGTATCATTATCACATTAATTTAATCAAAAATAAATAAATAAAATAGATTTATATTTCCATAACATTAATATTTTCATTATTTGTCTCGAGATTCAAGGAGCTCTTATGCCTTCTGAGAGTCTATATTAAATACAATATAGAGATATTAGAGCTATATACTTGGAGAAGGTAAGCAATTAATATTCTAAATTCACTTAAGATTTATTCATTATTGTAAAAACAATGAAACAAAAATTGAATTCTAGTATAAAGAAGGAACTGTAATACCTTCTTGTCTGTATTCAAAGCAATATAATGTAGGGGGTTAGATCTACAATTCTGTAGAAAATAAGCAATTATTTAAGAAGGAAAAAAAAAATATTAAACTATATAAACGAAAAAATTGATACCTTGATCGACAGAGGTCTGGTCTGTTTTGGGCGTTAATTAACAACAAAAAGGGAGCATTTGGTAAATGATTGTTGCTAGAGCCGAAAGTATAAAGATCCGAACTAATTACAGTATAGAAGCCATGTTTTCGAAATTATCCGAATGACTTTCAAGTCGCCGCTTTTCTGATGTAATTACATCCTGAGTATTGTGATTTGAGTCCAGGAAATCGGATGAATGATGGGAAGGCCGCCATTAACGTCTTCCCAACTGGCTCTGAGTGACAAAGTGCGCTATTTATTTACAAAGTGAAAAATAGATGAATTCATAATTGCTACTTTTCTGACTGACACTTCTTCTCCTTTATAATTAATTTCAGAATTGTTGTTTTTAACTGCAACACTTTATTCCGCTTGGAAGGTGTCCTGTCCTCAAAACCGTCACCTCCGACGTTGTTTTTCAATCTAATAATGTCTAAGATTTACATCTATTCTTTATAATAATAATTTTAGTATTAATAAAATACTCTTAAAGAACATGATTATTAATTTTAACGAGATGTAATTTGTAATTATATATAACATATATCAGAATAATAAAGAGTTGGGTATGAATTCTATGTGTTAAGAGCCAAGTATTTTATGATTTTAAGCTAAATCGAAGGTGCAGATTTCGTTCTGTAAAGGCCTATATTGAAGGCAGAAGTGCACGTGACTTAACGCCGAGTCATTTCTTGAAAAAGCAATTATTACAAAATAACTACTTAAAATCTCATAAAACGTTTCCATTCTCCATCTGTCGAGAGTCATCCCGATAAATTTAATTGCTCTGTTTCTTTTTTCACGTTGGTCTGGAGACTGCGCAGAAGGCGTGGTCCTGTTACGGGTCCCGTGATGAATGAAGGTGTTCGCCATCTCCCCTCTCCATCTCTAATAGTGTTTGCCAACGAATCGCCTCAAATGTATTAACTAGACACCCAAAAGGGTCAAGGGTCTTCATCAGATTTTTACTAAGTCAAACAAACTCCCTGGGCTAAGGAAACCATACAGGACTCCCACGGTGCCACAGCGCGTGGCTTAGGTACCTTCCCTGTGTAAACAAGGCGGTAAGACATCATACATCATCTCTGAGGAGGAGGGCGGGTTCTCGATGATTAATATACGATCGGGTGGAAATTTTTCGCGATAAATCAACTTTGAAAACAATTCAGGAGAATATTTTCGCCCAAAATCTCATTTTAAAAGCAACCTTAGCACGATTGAGTCGTAGCTCCAGGGTCTAATTAACAAACAATTAATTGTCTCCAGCTAGACTTTAGATAATTAGATGGTGATGAGTGGGATTACTGCTAATCTACAACATTTCTAATAAATTCTAATTCCAGAAATTACCTAGAGAATTTCATTAATGGCATTACTGTGTCGGTTTCAAATGGCCAAATTACTGGATCAATTATTGTATTTAAAATATATATATATATATATATAATAAATCATAGTAAATATTATTCTTCTGATTTTCTGAAGTAATATCCGTTCAACGTACTGTAATGTCAGTATTTAATACCTTGCAGATTATCCTAATCTACTCTGTAGTGTATTCGAATTATCTATCACAGATTGATATTAGATTCTAGAACCTTACCAACGTATACACTCGTCTATTATTAATTTATTATCCGATAATTGGACTCAGAGCGAGTGACCAGAGGCGGGAGGAAGGCAATTCGATGATAGGATCCACACGGGATAGAGAAGCATAACTAATGTTGTAGACACGAGGTCAGAGGATATTCGGGGCGGAAATTAACTCGGTTCCAGATAAGAAACAAATTTATTTATTTACACCCACGTTTGGAAGGTAGATCTTGTCTCCGTTTTAACCTTCTTCTTATCTAAAATATCGCACGAAACCTACATTTCTGTTTTCTTTTACTTTTAAACTGACTTAAATAGGTCGGGCTTTTGATGAAAACTACGAAACGTTTCTGCCTGCACCGACACGATGGAGCCATAGAACTAAGATAGAGCTGAGATTGGGCACGAAAGAACTATCGTTTTCACTACAGAATGGCGATTGTGAAGTTTTCTTCTGTTAGAATATGGGACAAACGAGAATCGTATAATTTGGTACTAGCAAAATTATCGTGCACTGATCCTTTGGAATTATCCCAGAGGGTGTCCAGGAAAGTCTTCACGGGCATTAAATCGCTTCCGCTAAAGATGCAATAATAGAAACCTGTCAGATTCGGAGGAGGAGGACGCGAGCGACTGCGTCATTAAGCAGACGTAAAACGGAAACCTCTACCTTAACATCTGCCCCAACAACCGGTAGTCTTAGCGCTGCAGACGTGTTAACAAGCCCTTAATTGCTAGCTTGAATGGCGTCAAATGCGACCCTGCGGCGCTTACATGGGAAAACAAGATAGCTTCTGAAATACGAAAATTCTTTGCTCATTTCTCCGTCATGACTGCAAAAAAAATCTACTTGGATATAATAAATTTTCTAATATTTCAAGCATTGTATTTATATTTTACACGGGATGAATGAAGATTATCACACAAAGTAATAATGTGGATAATGTAAAAAGAATTAGGGAATATTTTGGATATATTTTAAAGGAAACTCGATATAACTTTTATCAGTTATTGTTAGTTAAGAAGGAAATAAAGAAGGTTTCGATAAAATGTTCTTTGATGAGATGAAAAGTAACGGAGCAGTCGACCAATAAAGAGGTGCTGACACGTCCAATATCGGATATGCGGGCGGGGAATACCGGGAATGAAGCGATGATGGATGGTCCGATTCACGTGTTAGATAGGCCAAACAGTTATCTCAATCAAGCAAAATTGTTACAAGTGTCGTAGGATTTCTGTCCTAAGGAGAATGTTATTAGATAATTACTGGTTTATCTCACCTCGCGTGGCTCTTCTCTCCTATCTCCTCATCGCTTTGTTTCTAAACTTATTCGACGATAAAGCCTATTTAATCGAGTTTTCTCTCGAGATGAGTAGCATGTAACGCTCTAAACTAGATCCACTTGAGAATTTAACTCCGTTTCGAACAAAGATCAAAAGTTACGATTAAAAATAATTTATTTATTAAAGAAAACAACGTAAAAGAATAATTCGAAAAGGTAACAGGTAGTTTCGTAAGTCTGTTATTTTATTCCAATTAGATCTATTGAATAAATAAAAGAAGTGAAGGTTAATTAATCTTTAATTAAAATTCAACATTGGTTTTTTGAAGTCCTAAAGTAAATTTTTAATTATAAGAATGTCAAAAACTCCTAAATTAAAAAAGTATTCTGTTTGATGATCCTATTATTCTTATAATTTATTTTTGAAAAAAAAAGTTAATTGGAAATTCAAAAAAGTCTTCTATGATATAAAAAAAAAATCCAAAACCTCGGTATTGGCCCTTTCATGAAGACGTATTGCAGAATTGGTAGGCGAACAATCTTTGTAGTTCCATCAATCAGCCCTTCTTATTACGGTGTATGGCGTACTTTTCTAGGGTGCGTGTTATACATCGACTCGCGTGAGTCTCCTCGATACGTTATCGGAGGGAGATATTAGGTTGCCTATATCCACAAAACATATAAAAACAAAACAAAATAAAATAAATAATAACGATGTTCCGATCATTCGAGACCTTATATTGATTTGCTGTGTAGAAATAGACCTCTTTAATCTTAACTCTTAGATAACATTCGGTTTTAAAGTGATCGATAGATTTTCTATCAACTCTCAATCCCCAAACAGATTTTTAAACCTTTAAAAGACTTAACATCTTTACAAATTAGTTCCGTTTTAACGTTCATTAACGTTTAAGAAATTGTACCATTATAAAACACCATTGAACTGTTTAAACAGCGCTGCAGGTATCTCCTTTTTCTTCTTCTTACAGCTTTACCGTATCACTTGTAATTGTAAAGATAATTACGTTTAATTAAAGAGAACTTTATCTTAAGGGAAACGATTAACATCTTTTGATTCTTAACAGAATAAATTCTCATAAAGACCAACTCAGAATATACAAAAGTCAAGTCACCCGTCATTAACTCTCTCTTTATCTTCTCATTCATAAACTATACCTTTCATGCTTTATACCAAAGAAGCATCATTAAGTTTCTTTCTTCTTTCTCTTATTTTCTATGTATTATATTCAGATAGCTTCTAGTTTTATAAATAATCAAACAATTTAATTTTATCTTCTCGAACTCTTGTTTTCTCGTTAATAATTTTAAACTTTAAAGGAACAGATGTTTTGTTTTGGAAAAAAAAAAACAAGAAATGACAGTGAGAACAAAGAATTTTTGCCGGTTCTGGGAAGTGAGTTTGGAGACAGATAAGTGTCCAGAAGGGGTCTTCCGCCTACTGTCCGTCACCTGCAGGTATCTTCTTCACCTGGAGTCAAACGTGGGATATCACGATGAAAACAGTAGGGGATCCACACATCGACCACTTGACTGATACATTCGCTATTTATTATGACATTTATAGTAGACGAGAACTTTTTATTAGTGCTTTTAGAATAACAACATTTTAAAATGTAATTATTTTAAAATATAATTAAAATCTAATAAATTAATTAAGCACATTTAAGTGAAAGCAAATGCTATCGAAGAAGTGTTATCTTTTGAAATAATGCGAACAAAATTAACAGTTTTAACGTTATTTTAAGCAATAAATATTGTTAATTTTATAATTAGTTTTAAAATTTTGTATAAACTAGATTTTGAATAAGGAATTAATACAATATTTACAGATGAATTAGGTTAGAACAACTTATGAATCATCAAACGTTATCTTATAAAGTAATGCGAACAAAACTGGATCTGATACAATAATCAACGTTAAATAATTATTATACCGGTTTTAATAAAATATAGGTCCCGAGTCGTAAATCATAACAATAGTAATTAATCATTATTCNAATATATAAATATTAATTCGTTTATAAATAATTTATAAAATAATTTTTTTTGACTTGTGTCGCCATCTGTTATTCATTTCTGCTTTATGATTTTAATAAGTTTCTGCTAATCTGACAGGAGAAAGAAAACAAATTATCGTCTATTAACTAAAAGGTTCAACAGATGGCGCGAGAGTACGATGCAAACGCCCACTCATTTATTAACATAATTGGTTAATTAATTGAAAAATTACAGAATAATAAAATCCAGAAGATGGCGCCACTAAACTATGTTATAGTATAAAGTATGCATTCGTTGATCCGCCATATTTAGTCCTATTGTTACCGTTCTATCTTCTGTATAAATTACTGTATGTCACATTATTTAACAATATAAAAAATCTTCTATTATTATATGAAATTGAATAAAATATAGAAATAAAATTGGCTTGTTAAGGTAAAAACTACGAGCGTTAAATAGAAAAAGGATTAAAAATGGCGACGCCTTTCTTAAATGCATTATCTGTAACTTATGAGCTTTAGTAGGATAAAGTCACATAAAAGATCATACTTTTGCAATTTTGCATTATTATTAATGATCTACTATATATTTGAATTTGATTCTATCAACTTATTCATTGAAATGTTCTTAATGAAATAGGCCTAATGTATTTAAAAAGACTAGGAAATTAAATAGAAAAACCTTTGCAATTTGAGTATTCTTAGAAACAATATAGATAATAGCATGTAGTATGGGAATAAAATTAAATCTTATACGTCTAGATAGAAAATCTACTGCCCCTATCTGCCTTATCATTATCCATTTAGAGATTTTGGCCCTATCTATCTCTCTCTATTTGGTCCCACTGACCCCCCCTCTGATTGTAATCGCTGGTTAACTCTCAATGTTTTTCGAAAAATGTATTTAAAGTAAGTAAAAAATTTAAATAGATCTATTGTGAGAAATAATTTAACGACCTTTCGCATCTAGTCGATCGACAATGTTAAATTAATTAATAATTTAAGTTAAAAATAGTTATTTCAGAAAGTGTAATTTACATATAGATAATTTCTATAAAGTAACGTGTAATAATAAATTTATATATTTTATAAATTAAGAAATTATAGAATTAAATTGTAATTTTTATTAACTTTTTTTCTTTTAGGTCCATTAACAAACTATGTTGGAAGAAAGAATACTTTAATATTGTGCAGTGTTCTGTTTTTCTTCGGATGGGATGGTATTCCTTACAGTAACTCCGCTGAACTCCTGTATTTTCTTAGAATAATTACTGGATTCTGTTCAGGATTAGTTTCTTCAGCTGCTCCTATGTATATTATCGAAATATCAACTCCTAAAGTTCGTGGATTTCTGGGATCTTGTTTCCAATTATCTGTGGTAACTGGAGTACTAGCAGCCATGTCTCTTGGCCTATATTTTCCATGGTCATGGTTATCTGTTTGCTGTGCCATCATCTCCATATTCTCGTTACTATGCATACTTCCTATGCCAGAATCACCCAGATGGTTAGTAATGAAGAATAAGAAAATAAAAGCCATTGTTGCTATTAAATTTCTGCAAGGAGATCGAGTGGATCCTCAGAAAGAATTTGAAAACATAGAAAATGATATAAAAAGACAACCTCAAGGTAATATTGGCATTAAAGACTTTGTAGATCCTATCAATTGGAAACCATTTCTGTTGTCTATAGGGTTAATGTACTTCCAACAATTTTCTGGAGTTAATGGAATAATGTTTTATGCTTCTTCTATTTTTGAATCCACTGGAAATAAAACTATTTCTGATAATTCTCCAGTTATAGTGGCAGCTGTTCAAGTATTTGCAACGTTCATGGCTTCGATTCTAATGGATAAAGCTGGTAGAAAACTTCTTCTTTTGATATGCGGAATAGGAACAACCATAAGTTTAACAACAATGGGTTTTTATTTTTATTTCGCTGAAAAATATGGAAAGAGTTATCAAGTACAGTACAGTTGGATATCTTTGGTTAGTCTAGTAGTATTTATAGCTTCGTTTTCTATCGGTATGGGACCAATACCGTGGTTAATGGTGGCAGAAATGGTTCCTCAAAGAGTCAGAAGTTTGGTAAGTGCAGTTGCAACGGGTTTCAATTGGACTTTAGTGTTTATAATTACTTTCACTTTCGCGAAAATGGCTATAGCTTTTCATCCGTATGGTTTATACTGGTTTTATGCATCTAATTGCTTTCTCTGTGTGTTGTTCTCGTGGTTTATATTACCAGAAACAAAAGGTAAGAAGTTAGAAGATATTCAAAAACTGTTCAAAAGAAGCAGCTTATCATTTAGAACAAAATCAACAACTGGAAATGATTTGCTTCCGATCATTGAGAATGATGTAATAATGCAGAGCGATTAAGATATATAAACTATATTTATTAGTATTAAAAGGTTAATTTCTTATTAAATATGGTATAGATTTATGTAAAAATTTATATCTAACAATTAAAAATAATTTTATATGTTATTTCTATACAAATAAACATATAAATACATTTTTTTTTCTTATCTTTTAAGTTATTTCTTTTACTTTTTATAAAAACTTCTTGGATAAAGTCTTGCAACTTCTTCGATTAAAAGTCTTTATAAAGACTTATTATAGTTTTTATTTTTTTTAAAAAAAAGAAAAACTTTAGATTAAAACGAACTCAAATTACACTCATTAATTTTTCAATTAATTAAAGTTCGATTTTTCACTTAAAAGAACAGTATATATGATTCATCCATCAATAATAATTTAATTAATCTATCACGTGGGAGTTCTATTATGAATCGCTCTTCGTAGAAACATCATTTTTAACACCTTAAATAAGTCATAATTTAATTATTTTTTTTTTCTAAAAGATGATAAGAATTCTTATTGAAATCCAATAAATACTTTTTTTTTCTTTTTTTTTTCTCTGATTTTAGTCGAAGAAAATTATTCATCGTAAGATGAATTGCTGTTTGGGTGGTACCTCTCGACTGTCCACATTCCAAAATAAATTATTTGTATGTTTATATAATACATACTTAAGTAAATTAATTAAAATGTCGTGCGTGGTGCGGAGAGGATTCTGTATAAAAGTTTGGCCTAGATTTTATTTTTTCCAAAGGATATGAATGTATTTTAATCGTGTTACTTTAAAGAAAGAGACGAAGGATTTAATTAAATAATTTTTTAAATTAATTGTAAATGTATGAGAACTTTTAATATTATTTAAATTAAAATATTGGAATAAACTATTTAAATTCTTTTTGTAGAGTTTTATTATGTAAAGAACAATCTACTTCAGCTCAAGACATCTTTTCGATCAATCATTTGTTCCTTGATTATTTACCACGTTAATATCCATTCAATTAAACGATAATAAAATATTAATAACAATTACAATAACCTCACAAATGTAATAAAAAAAAAAAATTTCACTTCTCTATTATCTTCAATAAAAATATTTTTAAAAAAAAGAATAAAAATAAGGGAAGAAAACCTTTCGTTCAAAGAAAAACTCCGAATGCTCTTAAGAAAAAAGTAGAAAAGAGAATGGAAGAATTCTCAATTTTAAATGAACCTTTAACAGTGCAGTAAGTATAAATTGAAGCGAACTTCTAATGCACGAACAGGTAGAAGATATATCACAAGAAGTGCAGGAAACAGAAAAAAAAAGAGCACAACCCAATCTATTTGATTAATGAAGTGGAGAAGAGAGGCAGCTGTTGGGGCGATGTTTTTCTCACTGCATCTCTCTCCTCCTGACGTTTGTAATTACCAACACGACTAATGGCGTCGGCCATTGCTTTACATGCAAATTTACATCATCCCTCATCCCGTGACGTCATTCAGAAACTGTTCTTCTTTGACGTCAATACCCAAGAAAAAAGTTCGAATCCCTAATCTTTAAAGATGGTTGGATGAAAAAGATCCTCACGATTCTCTACGTTCATTATGTTGTTTCTATATAAATTATAAAGATAACATGTTTCTTATCGACTATTTCGATCGGTAATAAAGTTTCTGAGCAAAAAAAAAATAATAATAATAATAATAATAAATAAATAAGAATATTCCTGACTCCCTGTCAATAATTGGAGGAAACACGCTATAGTTGTTTACTGTTATTTTCACTATATTAGTATCATTATCACATTAATTTAATCAAAAATAAATAAATAAAATAGATTTATATTTCCATAACATTAATATTTTCATTATTTGTCTCGAGATTCAAGGAGCTCTTATGCCTTCTGAGAGTCTATATTAAATACAATATAGAGATATTAGAGCTATATACTTGGAGAAGGTAAGCAATTAATATTCTAAATTCACTTAAGATTTATTCATTATTGTAAAAACAATGAAACAAAAACTGAATTCTAGTATAAAGAAGGAACTGTAATACCTTCTTGTCTGTATTCAAAGCAATATAATGTAGGGGGTTAGATCTACAATTCTGTAGAAAATAAGCAATTATTTAAGAAGGAAAAAAAAAATATTAAACTATATAAACGAAAAAATTGATACCTTGATCGACAGAGGTCTGGTCTGTTTTGGGCGTTAATTAACAACAAAAAGGGAGCATTTGGTAAATGATTGTTGCTAGAGCCGAAAGTATAAAGATCCGAACTAATTACAGTATAGAAGCCATGTTTTCGAAATTATCCGAATGACTTTCAAGTCGCCGCTTTTCTGATGTAATTACATCCTGAGTATTGTGATTTGAGTCCAGGAAATCGGATGAATGATGGGAAGGCCGCCATTAACGTCTTCCCAACTGGCTCTGAGTGACAAAGTGCGCTATTTATTTACAAAGTGAAAAATAGATGAATTCATAATTGCTACTTTTCTGACTGACACTTCTTCTCCTTTATAATTAATTTCAGAATTGTTGTTTTTAACTGCAACACTTTATTCCGCTTGGAAGGTGTCCTGTCCTCAAAACCGTCACCTCCGACGTTGTTTTTCAATCTAATAATGTCTAAGATTTACATCTATTCTTTATAATAATAATTTTAGTATTAATAAAATACTCTTAAAGAACATGATTATTAATTTTAACGAGATGTAATTTGTAATTATATATAACATATATCAGAATAATAAAGAGTTGGGTATGAATTCTATGTGTTAAGAGCCAAGTATTTTATGATTTTAAGCTAAATCGAAGGTGCAGATTTCGTTCTGTAAAGGCCTATATTGAAGGCAGAAGTGCACGTGACTTAACGCCGAGTCATTTCTTGAAAAAGCAATTATTACAAAATAACTACTTAAAATCTCATAAAACGTTTCCATTCTCCATCTGTCGAGAGTCATCCCGATAAATTTAATTGCTCTGTTTCTTTTTTCACGTTGGTCTGGAGACTGCGCAGAAGGCGTGGTCCTGTTACGGGTCCCGTGATGAATGAAGGTGTTCGCCATCTCCCCTCTCCATCTCTAATAGTGTTTGCCAACGAATCGCCTCAAATGTATTAACTAGACACCCAAAAGGGTCAAGGGTCTTCATCAGATTTTTACTAAGTCAAACAAACTCCCTGGGCTAAGGAAACCATACAGGACTCCCACGGTGCCACAGCGCGTGGCTTAGGTACCTTCCCTGTGTAAACAAGGCGGTAAGACATCATACATCATCTCTGAGGAGGAGGGCGGGTTCTCGATGATTAATATACGATCGGGTGGAAATTTTTCGCGATAAATCAACTTTGAAAACAATTCAGGAGAATATTTTCGCCCAAAATCTCATTTTAAAAGCAACCTTAGCACGATTGAGTCGTAGCTCCAGGGTCTAATTAACAAACAATTAATTGTCTCCAGCTAGACTTTAGATAATTAGATGGTGATGAGTGGGATTACTGCTAATCTACAACATTTCTAATAAATTCTAATTCCAGAAATTACCTAGAGAATTTCATTAATGGCATTACTGTGTCGGTTTCAAATGGCCAAATTACTGGATCAATTATTGTATTTAAAATATATATATATATATATATAATAAATCATAGTAAATATTATTCTTCTGATTTTCTGAAGTAATATCCGTTCAACGTACTGTAATGTCAGTATTTAATACCTTGCAGATTATCCTAATCTACTCTGTAGTGTATTCGAATTATCTATCACAGATTGATATTAGATTCTAGAACCTTACCAACGTATACACTCGTCTATTATTAATTTATTATCCGATAATTGGACTCAGAGCGAGTGACCAGAGGCGGGAGGAAGGCAATTCGATGATAGGATCCACACGGGATAGAGAAGCATAACTAATGTTGTAGACACGAGGTCAGAGGATATTCGGGGCGGAAATTAACTCGGTTCCAGATAAGAAACAAATTTATTTATTTACACCCACGTTTGGAAGGTAGATCTTGTCTCCGTTTTAACCTTCTTCTTATCTAAAATATCGCACGAAACCTACATTTCTGTTTTCTTTTACTTTTAAACTGACTTAAATAGGTCGGGCTTTTGATGAAAACTACGAAACGTTTCTGCCTGCACCGACACGATGGAGCCATAGAACTAAGATAGAGCTGAGATTGGGCACGAAAGAACTATCGTTTTCACTACAGAATGGCGATTGTGAAGTTTTCTTCTGTTAGAATATGGGACAAACGAGAATCGTATAATTTGGTACTAGCAAAATTATCGTGCACTGATCCTTTGGAATTATCCCAGAGGGTGTCCAGGAAAGTCTTCACGGGCATTAAATCGCTTCCGCTAAAGATGCAATAATAGAAACCTGTCAGATTCGGAGGAGGAGGACGCGAGCGACTGCGTCATTAAGCAGACGTAAAACGGAAACCTCTACCTTAACATCTGCCCCAACAACCGGTAGTCTTAGCGCTGCAGACGTGTTAACAAGCCCTTAATTGCTAGCTTGAATGGCGTCAAATGCGACCCTGCGGCGCTTACATGGGAAAACAAGATAGCTTCTGAAATACGAAAATTCTTTGCTCATTTCTCCGTCATGACTGCAAAAAAAATCTACTTGGATATAATAAATTTTCTAATATTTCAAGCATTGTATTTATATTTTACACGGGATGAATGAAGATTATCACACAAAGTAATAATGTGGATAATGTAAAAAGAATTAGGGAATATTTTGGATATATTTTAAAGGAAACTCGATATAACTTTTATCAGTTATTGTTAGTTAAGAAGGAAATAAAGAAGGTTTCGATAAAATGTTCTTTGATGAGATGAAAAGTAACGGAGCAGTCGACCAATAAAGAGGTGCTGACACGTCCAATATCGGATATGCGGGCGGGGAATACCGGGAATGAAGCGATGATGGATGGTCCGATTCACGTGTTAGATAGGCCAAACAGTTATCTCAATCAAGCAAAATTGTTACAAGTGTCGTAGGATTTCTGTCCTAAGGAGAATGTTATTAGATAATTACTGGTTTATCTCACCTCGCGTGGCTCTTCTCTCCTATCTCCTCATCGCTTTGTTTCTAAACTTATTCGACGATAAAGCCTATTTAATCGAGTTTTCTCTCGAGATGAGTAGCATGTAACGCTCTAAACTAGATCCACTTGAGAATTTAACTCCGTTTCGAACAAAGATCAAAAGTTACGATTAAAAATAATTTATTTATTAAAGAAAACAACGTAAAAGAATAATTCGAAAAGGTAACAGGTAGTTTCGTAAGTCTGTTATTTTATTCCAATTAGATCTATTGAATAAATAAAAGAAGTGAAGGTTAATTAATCTTTAATTAAAATTCAACATTGGTTTTTTGAAGTCCTAAAGTAAATTTTTAATTATAAGAATGTCAAAAACTCCTAAATTAAAAAAGTATTCTGTTTGATGATCCTATTATTCTTATAATTTATTTTTGAAAAAAAAAGTTAATTGGAAATTCAAAAAAGTCTTCTATGATATAAAAAAAAAATCCAAAACCTCGGTATTGGCCCTTTCATGAAGACGTATTGCAGAATTGGTAGGCGAACAATCTTTGTAGTTCCATCAATCAGCCCTTCTTATTACGGTGTATGGCGTACTTTTCTAGGGTGCGTGTTATACATCGACTCGCGTGAGTCTCCTCGATACGTTATCGGAGGGAGATATTAGGTTGCCTATATCCACAAAACATATAAAAACAAAACAAAATAAAATAAATAATAACGATGTTCCGATCATTCGAGACCTTATATTGATTTGCTGTGTAGAAATAGACCTCTTTAATCTTAACTCTTAGATAACATTCGGTTTTAAAGTGATCGATAGATTTTCTATCAACTCTCAATCCCCAAACAGATTTTTAAACCTTTAAAAGACTTAACATCTTTACAAATTAGTTCCGTTTTAACGTTCATTAACGTTTAAGAAATTGTACCATTATAAAACACCATTGAACTGTTTAAACAGCGCTGCAGGTATCTCCTTTTTCTTCTTCTTACAGCTTTACCGTATCACTTGTAATTGTAAAGATAATTACGTTTAATTAAAGAGAACTTTATCTTAAGGGAAACGATTAACATCTTTTGATTCTTAACAGAATAAATTCTCATAAAGACCAACTCAGAATATACAAAAGTCAAGTCACCCGTCATTAACTCTCTCTTTATCTTCTCATTCATAAACTATACCTTTCATGCTTTATACCAAAGAAGCATCATTAAGTTTCTTTCTTCTTTCTCTTATTTTCTATGTATTATATTCAGATAGCTTCTAGTTTTATAAATAATCAAACAATTTAATTTTATCTTCTCGAACTCTTGTTTTCTCGTTAATAATTTTAAACTTTAAAGGAACAGATGTTTTGTTTTGGAAAAAAAAAAACAAGAAATGACAGTGAGAACAAAGAATTTTTGCCGGTTCTGGGAAGTGAGTTTGGAGACAGATAAGTGTCCAGAAGGGGTCTTCCGCCTACTGTCCGTCACCTGCAGGTATCTTCTTCACCTGGAGTCAAACGTGGGATATCACGATGAAAACAGTAGGGGATCCACACATCGACCACTTGACTGATACATTCGCTATTTATTATGACATTTATAGTAGACGAGAACTTTTTATTAGTGCTTTTAGAATAACAACATTTTAAAATGTAATTATTTTAAAATATAATTAAAATCTAATAAATTAATTAAGCACATTTAAGTGAAAGCAAATGCTATCGAAGAAGTGTTATCTTTTGAAATAATGCGAACAAAATTAACAGTTTTAACGTTATTTTAAGCAATAAATATTGTTAATTTTATAATTAGTTTTAAAATTTTGTATAAACTAGATTTTGAATAAGGAATTAATACAATATTTACAGATGAATTAGGTTAGAACAACTTATGAATCATCAAACGTTATCTTATAAAGTAATGCGAACAAAACTGGATCTGATACAATAATCAACGTTAAATAATTATTATACCGGTTTTAATAAAATATAGGTCCCGAGTCGTAAATCATAACAATAGTAATTAATCATTATTCTATTATTTAGTTTTATTTTATAATTTCTATATAAAATATTAAATAGAATAATTTGATAAATTTACAAATTTATGTGTATTTTTTTATGTGTATAATTATTCTAATTAGATTTGAAATATACTAAAAAATAATTCTATAATTATAATTAATTTAACAAGGATTTTGTTAAATGTGTGCGGTTATTTTCTCTTTATTATTTGTTTTAATTATATTTAGATAATGTTGGATTAAGAAAAAGTCGGATCCTAGACAAAACTTGCGCTAGGACCCTTCCAAAATAGAATCAATATATATATATATATATTGTTTTTTGTTATATATAAGTTAACATTAGACATTCTTGAAGAAACAATAATTCTATATTCACTTAAAATTGTTTATTTCTTTATAGATTTATGAGTCCTGTTAGATTCGAACCTTAAGCACTTACTAGGCATAATCTACTGTAATATCTAACAGAAATAATGAATAATTATTAATGATTAAATAGTAATTAATTGTTTCTCCTAATTATAATCAAAAATAAATATTTTAATGTATTAATATACTAAATAATCCCACATACATATTATACAGGCCTACTACACACACATATACTGTAGACTATAGGTTATATAAACCTAAACAGAGAGTATTAATTTATTGTATAAAGTGTGTATAAAGGTTACATTATGTTCTCTCTCTGTAGTAGATAAATATAAGCCTATATACATATATAAGGCCTTGGCATGTATAGCCTGGATGAGACCTCACCTTTTTAGGGGTCTCATCTCGCTGCTCATTACTAATATTCTATATGTCATTTGTATAATATCCCCGTCTAATGCCTTTAAAGAGATTGGATAAAATGTAACAGTTTTATTAAGGTTATTCTCGTTGATAATGCTCAGCAATTTGAGTTAGAACAGAGTGGATGACGAGACTAGAAGCATTAAACGATTGTATTGGCGATAATATCCGTTTCATCATTTCATGAAAACAGGTCATACAAATAATAAAATAATTAGTTTCGCCATATTCGAGGCAATTAACAACCGGAAATATTAGCAACAATGGCGGAAGAAGACGATGCACCGCCGTACCGCCTCCTGCGGCTTTCATTAAAACTAATTTAAAAATCACCCCCTATTTCCAATTAAATTTACTTAGAATTTTAATAATTAATAACACGTTATAAACTAATCTATAAACCTATATAATTAAGTTAGGAGTAGAGACAAGGCCTATTTTATACGTCATCTTAATTATATATGCTCTAGGGGAAGCCTCTAGGCTAAAAGTGTCTGGTAAGATTTCGGAACTAACTTATTAATTTAGACTGAAGATGGATTAGATTCAGTTAATTATTAATACTTATTAAAGATTATAGATTATTTTATAAACAACTATAATAGTAATACCTCAAAATGGAAGAGATATGACGGAAAGTGTGACATATCGTCGGTGTTCAATTGCTCCTCCTATTCTCTTCGTAAACCAATAAGAGATCTTTTAGAAAGCGTGTCTACAATCGACCAATAGAAGGTCGCGTTTCTCGGAGAAGTGGCATCGCCTCAATTATTTCCAATTATTCGCAGGCCGCATCAAATGAAAGACATTAACTGGAAAACTGTCCAATCAAATGTTTATATTAGCTCCAATAACATTCTTACAACAATAATTATCCCATCATAATGACGGTAAGTTGTAGCTAGAATAGGTGTTGCTGCAGTGATGCCAAGTCGCAGCATGGCCCAGGCCACTAAGCCCAAACACAGTTTTTCCATTGACGCTTTGGTCGGTAAGACCGACAATGACAGCGGACCTTCTCAGCCTACGGAACCGCTTCTTCCTCAACTGGCTGTTCCTACCTGTCATTATTTGGAACCGGTGTGCGGCAGGAGGTATCCTGAAGCCTCTTTTGCATCTCCCGCTGGTTCTCCCTTCTTCTTAGCCAGAGAATCTTATCCTCTCTATCCATGGCTTATCGGAAGACATTCTCGTTTTTTGCCTCCGAGAATCCCAGGTGAGTCGTCTACCTTTATCTAACTATAAACAATCACGCGCCCACAAACTTTATCGCCCGTTTCCCAAACTTCCAGTCTTGACATTTAATTGTGTTTTTTTTTTTTTTAAGAAATTTTCTTCTCTTTTATAGAATAATAACAAATAAATCTGAAGAATTCAACTTTAAAAATCTTATCTGAGGATATAATTAGCCATGATCGTAATTTTCGTAAAATGTAAGCTGGCCCAAAAGTCAGTTAACAATTGTAATGTTTAAATCACGTTTAACCAATGTTTACGTTGTTCTAAACACTTATAATTTCCCCCCTCCCACATTTGATTTTATAAATGTAAAACGTAAAATCCCATTAAATTATTGTTTGTAATTTTTAATATTTTTAATAAAAAATTAAATTAATAAAATAAAAGAAAAACTATTAATAAATGTTAAAATATGATAGAATATTAAATAAATAAAACAGATTTTTTTTAATTTTAATTTTATTTAAAGAAAATCCATCTTTTTTTTTTTTTAAGACATTGTATAGGCCTTAGGCTACTACACCTTGAAAAAAAAAAAAAATGTTAAAATTGTTGACATTAAAATATTTTAATATAAATTAAGAATTAAAAATTAATTTAATTTTCTGTTAATAAATTAATAATATATTCTTATAAATTTTATAATCACTTTAATATATAAAAAAATTACTTATGCTTCCGACATTAAACGGTTTGACATTGAACAATTGAAGAAAGGAAGTCAATCGTTATTCGAAATCCTCTCACTATAATTATCATCTTATAAGGATAATATATATATAAGGTGGTCCAAAAATCAATTAACCCTGTATTGTTTATTTTTGTATATTCTAGTTACAATCCTTCACAAAATTAGTATAAAATTCTACTTATACTATTTAAAATAAGGTAATAATGGTTACCTGACTTTTGAGCTATCCGGCATTATTATTATTATTATTATTATTATTATTTCCAACAATTATAGCCTATATTTTATATTAATTTAAATACGTCTCTGTAACCAAGAGGGGAGGTGGACTGAGGAGCTATAATCCATCCGAAAAAGAATTGCATTAATAAAATATAAAAATATATAGGCCTATATATACGACTAATGTAATTTAAATTTATTTGTTAGTATCTATTAAACTTAATTCCTGATTACAAAATAATGACAAGTCGTTAGTATTTAGAATCATTAACTCTTTCTAATAGAAAATTACTATTGTATAAAAGTTCTAAGAAATAAATATTGACATGAACATGTGTAATCCAGAGAATAATTATGTAGAACAAGAGCGCTGACAGGTATCGATTGATAAAAACTGTGTGTAATAACAGCATTAAATGATCTTTTAAAACTAATTCCCGAATAAATTTTATGTAAATTATACTGAATTTAGCTATTGGCTCTCTGCATTAACCATTTTCGTATTTATATTCAACAAAAATATTATTTGCTCTCGAGGTTTTCGTAGATTTGGTAAATATGAATTAGAAGTTATTGTCATCCTCGTTATTCTACTGTTATACATCTCCATGCAATTTTCAATTTTGAAGAGAACAAAGATTTCGGGTCACTTCATGAAAAGCACATACGAGGGCGAAGCAAAGTTAGCAGAACAAGCAGAATTATTTCTCCTGAAATGTTTGGCATTTGTGTTTATCATCGTTCTTATTGTTTCAAATGGAATAACCGTGCTGATTTATCAATCAATCAACGATGATAGCGCAAGTAAAATGGAAGCAGTTGTCTGTTCAGTAGTATTCTCATATGGATCAATACACGTGATAGGACAAATATTCTCAGTTCTTTTTATGGCTGCACTTACTCTTACTCTCATTGCGAAAAGAATTATAAAATTAAGTGAAGACTTAGAAATATTAACCGGAAAATCTGACTTTTTGAAGAAGAAACTACAAAAAGTCTGTGAAAAGCATACAGAATTATGGGAGATTATTCAGATGATCAACTACAGGATGAATGTTCTATGTCCTTTGATATATATTCATTTCATTTACGAAACCTGTTTTCTCTGTTTCTTTGCAATATTCTACGACATAAACGTTTACATTCGTCTAATAGTTAGTTGTATATCAATATTATTTTTTGTGGGATGTTTGCTGGTTTCCTGGTCTCTGTCTCGTTTCACATCAATGGTAAGCGGAATTTATTACTACTTTGTCGATTATTGATAGTTTAGTTTAGATAAAAACCTATTGTTCAATGAAGCAGATGAAACGCAATTTGATGATATACAGAGTTTTGTGTATGCTTGTAATTAAAAAACTCATAAAAAATTGACATTTTCATTAGCAATCGTTATTAGAAATCGCTGCATAACAAAACAAGGTATACAATAGTCAAATTCAAAAATCACACGTTTAAGAACGTTTATAANAAATGTTAAAATTGTTGACATTAAAATATTTTAATATAAATTAAGAATTAAAAATTAATTTAATTTTCTGTTAATAAATTAATAATATATTCTTATAAATTTTATAATCACTTTAATATATAAAAAAATTACTTATGCTTCCGACATTAAACGGTTTGACATTGAACAATTGAAGAAAGGAAGTCAATCGTTATTCGAAATCCTCTCACTATAATTATCATCTTATAAGGATAATATATATATAAGGTGGTCCAAAAATCAATTAACCCTGTATTGTTTATTTTTGTATATTCTAGTTACAATCCTTCACAAAATTAGTATAAAATTCTACTTATACTATTTAAAATAAGGTAATAATGGTTACCTGACTTTTGAGCTATCCGACATTATTATTATTATTATTATTATTATTAAGTATATTATTAATAGGAAATAAGGAAGGTTGAATTATTAATTTACTTTCCTGATGTTCACCTAACATCTGCCTTTTTCACTTCCTATTTTAAGGTATTTGAGGCCCTTCAACTTAGCACATGGTTTTCAAATAGCAATTTACATGTCTAGTTTGATATATAAATTCATTTTACTTAAATTTTTTTATGAGTTTTTAATATAAAAGCATTGTAGATTACAAATACCATATATAAAATAGATAAGTGCGTTGAAATTTATTATTATTTATTAAAAAATCGAAGTAAATATTTGCTGGTTAGTTAAAATTCTAAATTCATTGAAGAAAAAAGTACGGGGTACTTATATTGATTTAATTGTCTTAATAGTATTATTAAAATAATCTTAAATCTTAATCGAAACTAATGGACATCTTTATTGCTGAAGTTAAGTAACAGATCAGTATCCTGAAGAGCTGAAATTCATAAATCATCATTAACAATATTATCTTGCTCTTTTATCTTATTAGAACACTATCCGTTAGACAGCAAGAGAAGTCTTTAGATTCAGATTACAGCTTTTTCTTCTTCTTTTTTTTGCCTAATAAAACGAATATAGTTAATTTTTCACTTATAAAAACTATACACTCGACCCCCCCCATAACACTGTTGATAATTCTGTTTTATATGAATTCCATGTTGTACGAGTCACTCACTCGTACAACATGGACGGCTCACGTATTTTACAAATACGTGAGCCGTCACAGCCCGGCACACGTATTTTAAAATCTAAGTGACTCGTACAACATGGAATTCATATAAAACGGAATTATCAACAGTATTATAGGAGGGGGGTCGACTGTACTTTTACAAGAATAGCCTATATATTAAAGAGGATTCGTGATATGCCCTATTTTATGCTAAATCTATTAGTACCTTTCTGAAGTTTCAATATGAAAATCCATCCTACAATAATTGCTTATTAGTCAGACAATAGTCGACTAATAGCCTTCCACCTGTCGCACCGATTCACTCACCTGTACTCGAAATCACCTGTCGCAAAATTAATGCCTTGTGATACCTAAGGGAAGACACAATCGATCTGAACGTCTGATGCATTATTTATTTACTCGATCTCACAGATTTGTGTATTCTATAAAATATTCGAACTTTGTATCGGCCCTTTAATTATTTAAAGAATAGAATCAAAGTAAAACTTTTTTCTACAATTACTAAATATAAACGACATATTAATTAATTAATTAGCATTTACTGTTTTAGGGGCAGATATGACTGGGTTGTTTCTACATCCGTTTCGTAAACCAAAAAGAATTCGTACAGCATTCTCACCTTCACAGCTTTTAAAACTCGAACACGCTTTTGAGAAGAACCATTATGTAGTAGGAGCGGAAAGAAAGCAACTTGCTCAATGTCTCAGCTTGACAGAAACTCAGGTAATTTTATAAATCGTATGAAAAACATGGGCTAAATCAGCAGTTCTCAACCTATAGTATACCCATTGTATCCCAAGGGAGTACACAAGAACGATCAGTTAATACGGGTCTAATATACAGAAGGCTTTGATGGTACGCGAGTGAAAAAGATTGAGAATTGCTAAACAATATCATATTAAATTTTCTATAAATTTAAAATAAGACACCTTTCATATTTTGAGTATATTTTTAAAATTATATATATATATATATA